GGACGGACGGACGGACGGGCGGCGGTTCTGAGGTCTGCGCCCCACCCGCCCCCTGGTTTTAAGGGTGCTGGAGAAACTCTGGGGCATGTCCTCCTCCCTTATTTCTCTCCCCTCTTTTTCCCTTTTCTGAAGAGAAGAATCAAGGAGAAGAGATGAGGAGAGGAAGGAGAAAGTGAAATCGTAAGATGCTGCCGGGAACTTTGATCCCTTTCCCTGCACCCCTCTCCTGACATAGATATGGAAGAGGCATCCCACTCCCTCCGGTGCGGATCGGCTGGTGCAGGCCCTGAGCCCGGCAGCTGAACGAGAATGCGATGCTTGGAGAAGCTTCTGCCCACTTTGTACAGTAAGGATGGAGATCCCCAAAGTCCTCGGGTTCCTGGTACTGCTCACGAGCCTCTTACCCTGTCTCAGATGCGTGGAGGTAAGAACTGGTTATTCTTCTATCTGCTTGTAGGAAGTCACATGGCTCTTTTAATATCCTCACTGTAAGCGGATCTTTTTATTACTTGAATATGTTTTCCAAAGCGTCTAGGCGGCTGTGGTCTCTGGGAAGGGCTGGGGGTTTGAGGAGGGATTTATTTTGTTGTGCGTATGAAATTCAGAAAAGGAAACAAAGCAGGAAAGCGGGATGTGCAGGGGCTTGCAGATGCTTTGGCTCAGGTTTCCTATGTTTCTCAAGCGCTGCAGTGACCCTGGCAGGAGAGATCCTTTGTTTCTGTTCTTTGCTGATTGACTCATTACCCCTATTGCTGTTGTGGACAGATGATCTACAGCCACACGGACCTGGGGCAGTGACTGCAGCACAGGCTGTTTGCGCTAAAATTTGGTGGTGGTGATGGTCAGCGTTAGGGGATTTTGGAAACTGCTATGGGAACTGGCAGCAACTGATCTTTCATTAGAAGGAAAGCATATTAGTTGGACTGCAGTTCTTTCGTTTATGGTCTGTCTCCAAGAAGAGCGGGTTCAGACTTTCATTTATAGCCTGTTATTAGTCCACCCCATCCCTCTGTTGCCTGCAGGCTTATGTGTTTGCAGGTGCACACTAAAAGCTAGGAGCCGGGGGACCTGGATTGCGGCTCAGTCACGCTTGGTGCAGTCACAACGGTGTAGCTTAGCTCACTTTCCTCTCTTTGCAAGGAGTTTTGAGATCCTCAGATAAGTCCTTCAGCACTGTGAGTTCACAGACCATTATGTGGGCTTGCAACAGCCTGATACATGCAGATAGGAGGATTTTTGACTGAAAAGGGTTTTTCAGTTAAATGCAGTGTTATTCATGCGTCCCCTTGTGCATACACACCTGAGGTCTGAACTGCCGTTTCTGAACCGTGTCAGGAACTCATCTTCAATATGCAGTGTCACATTTTGACTTCCGGAGGGTGATGCTGGAGCTTGGCCGTGGTTGTCAACACCTGCTGGGCCATATTCATAAGCCTGACTTGAAAAAGACATCTGCCATGAGTAGGTGTCATTCTTGTCAGGTATCTATGGGAACTATCTCTCCTTATTCCAGAGGTGGATTTGGTTTAATGCCAAATTTTACTCTTCCCTTTTTCCAGGGAGAGATGAAGCTGAGAGAAGCAAAATTACTGCAGTTTGAAGAAAAACAGAACCAATTCCAATAGCTAGTATTCTTTACATGCACTCCTCTGCTCTGTGAGTTACACCTCCTTGTTCATATAAAAGTATTAAAACTGTTCATTAAAAAGTATTTAGAAATGAATTAAAAAACAAGGAGCTAGCAGAAGCATGTACAGTTTCTTCTTTTCACTCTGGGTCTGTGAAGGTCTTGCACCTGCCTGCACACCGTGTAATGGTGTTGAGTGGAGATCCCTATCTCTCAGTCAGCAGTCAAGTTATAACCACCAAAAACACTGCCTGTAAGAGGAAATGCAGTTTTGGGGCCCAACAGGATGCTGGAATTCAGAGAGCTTTGTTTCATACTTTTTGTTCTTAACTATTTAATCCCATTTGGATAATAATACCATAGGCCATATCATAGCCTCGTGTATTAAAAACAAAATCCTCAAAGAGCCTTGTTGGATTTTCTTCTTCAGGTGTTTCCCGCTTTGTACATGGATGTACATGTGGTTATTTGTTATTTTCTTACTGGTAACAACTATTTTCTTCTAGCTTTTCTTTCCATAGGCATCTCACTCAGGCTTCCAATTCTACTGGGAAAGAACAAGCAGAGCTCTGTAACATAGTGCTTAGATCAAGGGTGAATGTCTGCAGGCCAGTAATTATTCATTTTGTTGTTAGTGGGCAGAGCTGTGATTGGATTTGAAGAGTAGCAATGGGGAGAGTGGGGAAAAGGCTGGTTACTAGGGTGTGTTTGCCTAAAGCAGCAAAAGGCCGAGCTGCTTTTAGGACATGCCCATGTTTATTTCATCAGATAATCATCTCTCTTCTTTTGCTCTGTTTCTTTTCCCAGGCTTTCCTGGGATCCCAGCCCAACCAAAACCATTTGCAGAGTGCAGGTAAGAACAAGAAGTTATTAATTCAGTCATCAGGCAGATTCTTTCCTGCAGTGGTGATCTGAGACCATAGGTACGATGAACCACTGCTACCTGGCATTCTTCCTTTCTTTCCATTGCTTCTTCAGTCTTTTCTCCTGCCTCCATGTCTGTTTATCTACTTTCCCAAAATGGCCAGACCTCTTTCTTTTCTTCATGTCTAACACCCTTGCTGTTCCCTACTCCTCCCACATTTCTTTTCCTTTCATGTCTTTCTTTGCCCCAGTCTTTTTTGCACACTCACCTTTCCTCTGCTCTAATAACGACTGAATTCTCATACACCCCCCTCCGAGGATCCCAGTTAATGCAAAGCCCACGGTGTGTTTTCCAGACACTGTAACTGTGTTTCATTTTTGTACCTTGCAGTTAACCTTCAGCTGTCACTTACCCCCTCTGGGCTTGGCAGGAGCTAGAAGGCAAATGGCATGAGGCAAAGTTTCTTTGTACCCTTGCTGTTTGCCCTCTGTGTCTTTATGGCAGAAGGGTTTTCTGGAAGTGTTGGCTTCTTTTTGTTTGTTCAGTGAATACAGCTATAACTGTTATCCCTTTCTGAGTCTGCTCTTCCCATGTTACACGCTCTGAAAAGCCCACCCTCACACAGAATCTGGTTCTGGTTTCCCTCTTTCTTATTTCAGGGTCATAAATGGAGAGTTTTCTTCTTCTGTTAAAGACCATGTAAATTGATTGTTGGGGTTTCTTTGTATGAGATATTTCACATGGGCACTGGCCTGGAACATTGGCACCTGCACTCCTCCTCCCCCAAATAGGTTCCCTTTTCCTTCCTATGCATTGGCTAAGTTCAGGTAAGCCAGGTGATATGCTGATGTGTATAGGAAACATATGTACAATGAAATACAATGTCGTTTTCCACCTTCCTGCTTTACAGAATAAAATTATAGCTAATTTTAAACTCTTATCAGTTTCAATCAGTTTAGACAGACAATTACTTTTCTGAAGAGCCTAGAATCAAATTTAAGAGTACCTTACTCAGGTGCCAAAGCAGGTGGGGAAAGAAGCGGAGGAGTGCCTGCCAGGCTCAAGTGCTGCTTGAGCATCTATTGAAATAAACGGTAATGGGAACCGGTTCAAATTGTCCATGATTGGGCCCAGAGTTAACATATTTCAAAAGTCTATCTAGGCAGTTCATAACTTTCAGATTAGTTTGGGTTTTAGATAGTGTGAATTAGAAACAGTCTTTGAGCAGCTGCCTTGAAGAGCGATAGAATTTAAATAAAGCAAGTAGCAGTCAGGACTGCAGACACGGGAGGTGTTTCAGGAGATTGGCTGGTTTTTCCCATGGTGTCTGAGCCTCGGTGTGTGATGTCTTAAATGATGCTAACAGCTCTCTTCCTGTGCCTAGCGTCCAGCGTGTGTGGTGTCGGGCCTCTTGGGTATTACAATGGCTCGCTGGCAGTCACTGAGGCCGGGGCAGAGTGCCTCAACTGGGCAGAGTTCCCCGATTATGTTCAGCAGTACCCAGACCGTGGCTTGGGGGACCACAACCACTGCAGGAACCCAGATGGGGGAACTACACCCTGGTGCTTCTACCGGCTTGCGTCAGGGGCCATCGGCTGGGCTAACTGTGACTGTAACCAAGGTAAGGGCTGCTGCGTATCTCTGACAGCACCCAGGCTGCACTGTCTTGGGGGGCTCAGGCCAGAAATGTGTGCTGCAAGGACTTACAAGCAGCAGGTGGGATACCCTGTGAAAGGAGGACAGTACAATAACTGTCCTGAATTGTCAAAATAATTAGGACTAGAGGCTAGCCTGTGTGGGAGAAGAACGTCTGTATATAGTAGGGGGTGGATTTAAGCTGCTGTAGCTGTAATGCCTTGTATAGATGCTTTTATTCTTGTATAAGAAGACTTCTTTTTTTTTTACTTTTAACTTATGCCACTTTGAAAACAGTTTAAGTTATGTGGAAAACAACCCACTTCTGCTCCTTAAGTGTCCATATCAGAGCTCTCTTCACATAATTGTAGCAGTTCAAATATAACAAGGGAAAATCTTCTGTGGCTAGGTTTGTCAATCTTCTGTGGCAAGGTAGGTCATAGGCTTAATTTAAAATTCCTCATGGTGCCGACACAAGGACTGCTGCTTATTTTGAGGCATGCAGGGAAGCTGAGCTGTCTCAGTACCCTGACTCCAGTGCAGCACTCTTGAAAATGTTCTGTTTGTCCTCCTGTTTTCTGACTTTCCTCCCTTTTCCTGCATTTTGCAAAGAAGGCAAAGCACTAGTTTAAGAAATTACAAAGTATTTTCCCTTGTCAGTGGAAGTGCTTTCAAAGACTGCTTCATTAAAGGGAAGGATACAACGAGTGTAGTTGTGCTGCGTGCCTGCACTGAGGTACAGAGGTGTACCCTTCTCCCAGTATGTAACTGAGTGAGGAGATGGGCTTTCTAAACAGCGGTAGATATTTGTAGTGCAGTGGAAATTGAAAGGGCATTTACACTGGCACTTCCTTTTCTTAAAGAAATTAAGGAGGATTCACCTGCTGTTACTGAGCATCTAGCTGTAGCAACAGTGACTCTCATAGGTGAGGTGATCGATGGAAAATAAATCAGTGGAGTGACATAGGAATTAGAGAGCCTGCCATTTCCATATACCTTTTCAATGTGGCATGTAAAATCACCCCCATTTCACAAAGGGAAAATCTGGGAGCTGTGGCAGGACCCAAGTTTCCTGTCAGTACTACCATGGCTTTGAAATGGACATAGCACCAGCCATCCTCCCAAACAGCCATTGCTGGAACTGGGAAGGTGCTGTGTCCCGCACTCCTTCCTGCAAGGCACTTCAGTGACAGAACCAGCAAGATAGGGATGAGAAAAGCCAGGTGCAGTTCAAGCCCAAGACTTGCTGGTCTGAAACCCCCATCAGAAGATAGCAGCTTTTTTTTTTTTCCTTCTCTTTTGGAAGGTGCTGTGCGGTTGGCTGAAGATAGCAGCGTGCAGCTGTACTTCAGTGGACTCTGGGGCACCATCTGTGCTGACCACTGGACTGACTGGGATGCCAGTGTTGTCTGCAGGCAACTAGGTCTCAGGTGGGAACCTCAGTCTTGTTGTGAGAGTTACGTGCTTGTGTGGCCTTGGGAAGAACAGTCTCTCTGGTTACAGTCCCTCTGGCACAATGTGTTGGCTGGGGGAAAGGAGTTTGTTTTGTGGGTTCATTTCCCACTTACCAGGGTCCTTTTCTACTGTTTTCTTTCCATGGCTATGTCAAACCCCAGCCAGCATTTGCAAGAACATTTTAAAGCAGTAGTTTCTGCTCAGTGGTCCAGGCTGTGATGAGTGAGCTGTGAGATTGTATCCCCTTTTTAGTATTACCAGTTGGAGTTTCTCCAATAGGAGTCTCACTATCTATTAGAGATTTTGAGAGTGTGAACCCTCTATGGGAATCTGGGATTTGGACCTTCAAACTTCCAAATAGCAAGGAGATAAAGTCCACAGAGAAGGAAGAAAGTGATTCAGATATTTGGATGTTTGAATCTGTTGGTGGGTCCGTTTATCACTCTCGAACGAGGTTGCCATTTCTGACCAGACCGACTCCTCTGCAGGAAATAGGAAGACAAAATGAGTTAGATGGTCAGAAGTGCTTTGTGCTTGCTAGTACTTTCCCATTAGACTGTACATGGCCACCTCTTTATGCACTCCCAATCAACTGGGCTCACTGGGATGTGAAATGCCACAGCTGGGCTAGAGAGTCACAAGAACTGAGGGAAAGCAAGTGTGAGTCAAGCAGTGCTACGGCGTTTCATTGATCGGTCGCTTTCTCTGTACCAGTGAGATCGGCACAGCCGGGAAGAAGAGTCATTCCGGACTGTGGCCTGTTCCCCTGCACCTGCAGTCAGCAAACTGCCATGGGGATGAGAAGGCCTTGCTGCAGTGTGGCTATCGGGAAGCTGTGTCAGGAGCTTGTAACCAGGGGAGCGCCACGGTAATGTGTGTCCCTCCAGAAGGTAAATCTCCAGGGGAGGTTTGCTCCCCATTTCTTGCATCAGTGTTGCTGGTAAGATGTAAATTCTAAGGTCATGAAGCTGTGGAGAGCAAATCATTGGAGCATGTTCTTTCACCTTCTATACAGGTAGTTATCTTCCTTCCAGTGGAAAATTATCCATCCTTTCCCAATCCCAAATACTCAGAGCGGCAATACTTCTACAGTCCTTGAAAGATGGCTATTGCTTATGACCACGTCCCCTTTTTATCAAACCAGGCTTTTGTCTGCAGGCAGCAAAGTCCTAGTCACTGTAGCAGCCAGTTAAAGAGCAGCCCTGGACCGGCGGCACCTGTACTGTGGGCTGCAATCACAGATGCTTCGGGGGGGGCTTAGAAGGGAGGATGTGGTAGGCTGGGACAAGAGCATCCCAAGACCTCCTCTGGCTGGTGAATGTGTAGGTGCCCCGCTGCGTTTAGTTGGGGGAAAGGAGAGCTTTGAAGGGCGAGTGGAGGTTTACCATGATGGCAAGTGGGGTACCATCTGTGACGACCAGTGGGACGACCGGGATGCTGAAGTAGTTTGTAGGCAGCTGGGACTCAGGTAATTTCCCTGCTGTATGTCATGGAGTGGTAAGAGAGGTAGGCAGAATTAAGAACATGAGAGCATGTCCTTTCAGCTGTAGTACCAGCCCTTTCTATGAGATGTGTACAGAAACCCTGGGAAAGATAATTCTGGACTGATCATCCTATAAAGGGATTTTGTACTTAATTCCTGTCAATTTTATGGGTTTACGCTGTGGGGGGGAAAAAAAAAAAGGTGGTGCATCCCTATGCAAGGTCTGTTTGTGTTTATCCCTGTTCATTATTTTTGCACACATGTCCTAATGCAAATCTTTTTGGCCTCAGTGATAACTTGTCATGGTGATTTCCATACATGAACTGCAGTTGTTTAATTGGTTAAGTTTAAACATATCCAGTTTTATTGACTGCTCCTATCCTCTTCAGGCAGGAAAGCGAGAGAGAGCACCCTGTTCTCCTCTGTGCCATTCAGCACTTAACAAGGGAGCTGTTGTATACTGAGCATTCTTGAACATCAAATCAGTACAGAATGTTTTATAATAGACAATTCCATTCTGAGATCCCTCAAACGTTGGGAGTTTTGCCTGTTGCTGCGATTGAAACATCATTGTCCTCAGAACTCCCCAGGTGTCTGAACTGTTTTGTGTTGTGGGCATGTTTTTGTTATGTGTTGGAAGGTCTTGTGACAAAACTTTCCAGTAAGGTATTTCAGTTAACAGCTGGCAACACCACTGTGTCAGAAATACAGATTATCTATGGGAGGGCACTGGCCTAGCATAGGAGAGTCCCTCTGCAGGGCAGACTCTGAGTGCACAAGGCTGTGACCTTCCTTACTGTGAGCGTATGTGTCTGTACTGTTTGCAGTGGGAACCCAAAAGCCTTGTCATGGGCTCACTATGGGCAGGGGTCTGGCCCAATCCTGCTGGATGAAGTCGAGTGCTCAGGCAATGAACTCTCACTTGACCAGTGCAAGAAGAGTGACTGGGGACAGCAGAACTGTGACCACATTGAAGATGCTGGGGTCTCCTGTGACCCTTTCACAGGTACAGATCTACAGCTCTATGCCAGTCAGATGTGACCTGTCTTACTCCTGTATGACCCAGCTTGCTCAGCGGACAGCTCCCCTGCTTCGGGACCCAGCAGGGCTCCTATGTATGGCTCCTGGAAGGGCTGCTGGATGTGGAGGCAGAGAGCAAGCAGCAGGTGGGAATGGATCAGAGCCAGGCTTGGTGGTGTTCCTATTGCTTTCCATAGGTGGCATGGAAAGGCTGAGGTGAATCCTCCCCTGACAGATGGGCATATTTGGGAGCAATGAATGTTTGTTTTTTGAGTACCCAGCGGTATCTGTGTCTTTGGTTTCTTTCACTCATGGGCTGCAGAGACTTCAGCAGTGGGGCACAGGCTGTTTCTTTTCACCGCTGCCGAGCACTGATCTTTCCTTCTCCCGTCCCTTGCAGAGGGCATGGTCAGACTGGCTGGTGGCCACAGTCCCAGTGAAGGCAGGGTAGAAGTTTATTACAACGGAGACTGGGGCACAGTATGCGATGATGGCTGGACAGACCTTGGTGCCCAGGTGGTCTGCAGGCAGCTGGGCTTCAGGTAAGACTGAGAGTGTGTGTAGTGTCTGTGCCTCCTAATTTCAGGGATTAGAGTCCATCCCCCTTCACTGGGATAGGCTGGACCTTATTTCCTTCAATGCTGTCTTTGTTAGAAGAGTTATTACAGTTTTATTTGGGAAAGATTAATAGGTAACAACACCCTTGCCCAGGAAAAAAAAAAATCTTTATTACCTCTTGCCTCGGCCTGTTTTGAAAGCAGATAAGAAGCTTGATACTATCTTTATGAACCCCTCACCAAAGTCAAAAAGTTCTCTCAATACACCTTGAATTTCCAGGTGTATCAGCTCAGCACTGCCACCCCCTCTGCTCTGTCAGCTAAACGACATCACCTGCTTCAGTAGTTGAACGAAGACCATCAGGGCAAAAAAAAGAGTAGTACTAGAGATTTTTTGTATTGCTTTTCTTTTAGTCCATTGCCCAACTGTTGTCCCTCCAACTATGAGTTTGGGGAAAATTTAAAATCAGGATACTGTAGACTTGGAGCCAGTAAAGGGTTTTTTTGTGGCTTTTTTAATACGATTAGGATATCCTTGTAAAATTTCAGCTTTATAGACTGAAAAAAGACTAAATTCTTCCCTTTGAGTTCAGATGCATACTGTGTTTGTCGTCTCTTGTAGTGCCTAGAAGTTTACAGCTTTCTGCATTTCAATTCCAGGTAGCTACTTCCCATAAAAAGAAGCAGAATTACTTAAATGTTGATATTTTTGATGCCTCCTCTGCTGGCCCCTCCCCAAATTGATGTACCTGCTGACACATCTGCAAAGCAGCCTCTCTGGTATAGCTGGCCCCCTGTGCTACTATGACTGTGCCTTCAACCAGACACTGGTCTGAGTGGGCCCCCCTGAAAACTGAAGCTGGTGAGATGTGCAAGCTGTTTGGCTGCCATCCTGTGTGTCTCCGATATCACAGCTGAGCTCTTCAAGGAAGTTTCCCTTTGGGTCTGAGCTTGGGTCCCTCTGTGGGTTTAAGGAGTTTTAATAAATCTGATGTTATGTTCTGTTTCCTTCCTCTAGTGGTCCTGCTACCCTGGCCTCTGAAGGGGACTATGCTGCTGGCCAAGGCTTTATCTTACTGGATGATGTGGCTTGTCTGGGGACAGAGCTGTCCCTCCTGGACTGTCCCCACAGCAGCTGGGGACAGCACGACTGCTCACATGCTGAGGATGTGGGAGTCCGCTGTTCCCCTGAGAGGAACACCATCATGGATGGCAGCCTGGGTAACTCACCTTGTCTCTTGTCCTGGGCGGCAGGGAGGTGTCACCTGCTGGCCTCTTCCTTTGCAAGCTCTGGCAGATGTGGGAGTTTTCCCTGTGCTGTCTCAGTGAGGGAGGAGGACTTTTGGAGGAGGACTCCTAGGAACGAGCCCTGGCTGTCCTGGGGCACAGCCACAGAGCTGTGTCTCACCAGACCTACAGCCAGACCTGCAGAGAAACTGAAACTGGAGAGAACTGTGTTGGCAGTCTCTAAAACAAACCTGAGGGGCTGAGGAACGTGGCTGCCTTGGTGTGCCATTGCTCACTGGTGAGACACCTCAGCCCAGGTCTGTGGGAACTTGGGACCCCTTTAACTAGACCCTTTAGGAAACTGATGTAGGTACATTAGTGTCACACCTTGCCAAGACAAGAGGACTTCAGATGTGAGGGGCTGTTTTGTGGAAATTGCCACTCTCTTGAGTGGATGGCACACTTTTAATTAAAATTGTGAATGTATTTCAAGTTAGCATA